TTAAAATTGTTTGCTAATCTTGTTCTTGAAAACAAACAGTCTATAAACTAAGGGCTGGTCTTCACTGCGAACTTACACTGGCATAGCTACTGCTCTCAGGGATGTGAAGAATCCATATCCCAAAAGACACAGCTATACTGATGTAACTGCTGGTATAAACTGTGCTGACCTACCTCCTACCTCTCAGGGAGGTTGATTTCTTACATTGACAGGAGAGCCCCTCCTGCTGTAGCATTTCAAGTGTAGACGAGCCCAAATGGGTACATTTTCAAAACACTAGATACAGATTTAACTGTGTGATTCCAATTATAAACTGTGGAATTTGTGCAGCTGAAACTCCACATAATACACTGAAAAACCATCAATAGGCCTAGTGGTTATTTCTAGTCAGGGCTTCAGCTACAGTGGAAAAAAGACAACGCATAGTCAACCTGCGGCTCTTCACACAACACAGCCAACCTGTGGAACTCTGTTGTGAAGGCCAAGACTTCAACAGGGTTCAAAAAAGAACTAGATAAATTCATGGAGGATAGGTCCATCAATGGCTATTAGCCAGGATCGGCAGGGATAGTGTCCCTAGTCTCTATTTGCCAGAGGCTGGGAGAGAGCGACAGGGGATGGATCACTTGATGATTTCCTGTTCTGTTCATTCCCTCTGAAGCACCTGGCATTGGCCACTGTCAGAAGACAGGATACTGGACTAGATGGACCTTTGGTCTGATTCAGTATGGCCATTCTTATTTTGCGAGGCTTACATTAGATTATTTGCATACTGGCAAGGGACATATGCTGCCCTTGATCCAAGCATGCAACTCTTATTGATGCCAACAAGAGTTGTTCACACCACCTGAAGGCAGTATATGGAATATAATAATACCTGGCTCTTATATAGATAGCACTTTTCATCAGTAAGCCTCAAAGCATTTTCTAAAGGAAATAAGTATCATCAAGGCCGTTGAGAACAATTATGGCAATTATTGCTCCACGCACATAAGCATGATTTTATACACTATTCTCAGATCAGGCTAGGGTGAAAGGCATTTTGGATTAGAGAGTTTTGTTAAAAAACAACAACATGATTTTACAATGAATCTTTCCTTGAAGAATCTATCGACTTAATATATAGAACAAGGGGAGATGGAAAGTAGGTTAAGACAAAACTGCTCTGGGATGATTTACAGTAGATAGTTTTATACTGCTTAGGACTCTAAACAGGCTCAGCAATGCTGAGACCTCCAAATGTCATTATGGGGCAGGTTATGAAAGGCACTCTCAGCCTTGTTATCACTCTTGGGGATTTCCTATTTCATTCAATACAATTACAAACCCCTGGAGCAGTTCATCTAACTGATTAGCTGGTATGGATAGTAAATCATTCCCATATACTGAACAGAATGTGCATACAGGAGAGAGGTTTTTACAAGTTACCGCCAAACAAATGGGCTTTTACTAACACCACCAATGAACAAAACCACCAGCACTTTTTTTCCCTCTCTACACAATGACCTTCTCTGATTTTAACATCACTGCTGTTCCTTTGCCACAAATGGATCATTAAACATGGACAAAGCAAACTAAAAAATGTAAAGACATTTTAAAGTTTTAGCTCCATGTGATTTCCGGAAACTCAAGCACCCCTACGCACTATATGCCCATTCCTATTGGCCCACTGCATTCCATGGAGCTTGCATGAATGATGACAAGGGTCCATGATAAAAGATATGGGGGAGAAGAGGCAAGCCCAACATTCAGTAGTGTGTGTCCTACTTTACCCAGCATGCTGCCAGTTTAGCTAGTGTGCGAGAAGACGAGGCCGCACAACATGCTGTCAACTTCACTCAGCAGCAGCAGGCCAACCAAGCCACAGGCTGGCTGCTCTCGTTTGTTTTTTGACTAGTGAATTGGAGGTTCGGCAATCAGCTGTTATTAAACAGCTCTAATGTGTATTTTTTAAACTATCCAGTGACTAATTTTGTTAAAATGCACATTAGGCTCCATCCAGCCAAAGTTACCTCCCAGAACTGCCGGACAGTACGTAGTAGCCAACGAGGCTTACAATCACGGGAGTGAAAATCCCTTATGGAACACCTCATTTTCTGTTCCACCCTCTTCTGAGGATGACGTTTGCTCCGCCATCATAGGCGTGAGATGAACGAACTAAGCAGCGTGACCCACAAGAGGTGCAGGACTCATCAGGCAGCTTTGCACCCTGCATCCGCAGACCTGTTTGCTATTATTATTCTGATGGGCTTCCACAGCAGGCTCACTTCCTCACTGGACATGGCCTCCATTGGTACATTTTGCAGACACTGTATCCCTTCCTCTGCTCTCCGAACTCCTCACTGCCCCCACTTCCCCTTCTCTGCTCTACGCTCACTCTCGTGCCCTTCTGCCTCTTCCCTTCCATTCTTTCCTCACTCTGCAGCTTGCCTGGATCCCTCTTGTGCCCAAAACCTTTCCTCATGTTCCTCTCTACCCATACAGCCAGCCAGCCACATGAGCCTCCTGACACTTACAAAAGAACTGAATCGGGGGCATAATCTCTCCAGTGATTTGGCAACAGATGGCATAATGGGCCACACTGGTCACTGTTCTGACATTTGCACAGGATGGAAAGCCAGTGTTTTTTAATTGTGAAGATAGTCCTAGGATCTTATTGTAGGGTGCACAGATCGTTCGTATTTATGTCAACATATGCCCGGAAGGTCTGTTGAGTCTCAACAAGATCACAGTCACACCACACTGATATTAAACGTGAACTAAATTATGGTTACCGGGAAAGGTGGAGGTTGGGGAGAGGCTGGAGGAGAGAGAGAAAAAATATGATGACACATCTGCAGCACCTTCTCTTTTGAAGGATTTCAATGCTCTCTATAAACTAGGGGCCCAATTTTTTCCTCGGTGCTATGAGTTACCCCTGGGCTCACAAGGCCAGACCTGGGCTACATGTTAGCACTATGGTGGGCTGCACACATTGCATAACAACACTGCATGATAGCTTAGGGAAAGAAGTAGAGAATAAACCTTGTATCCAAATGAAACTGCGGGGGTGTGGGGAGGTACTGTTTAAAGCAGGCAAACTGGGGTTATGCAAGTTGGGATTTGGCTGATATACTTTAACTGCAGAAATCTTAATAAAACATAAAGGAACCTTCACTTCCAATAAGGCCCTTTTTGCAGATGAAGGCACTTACATAATAAACATTTTAAAACACTAGAGTATAGAACATCAGGTTTAGTTCTAATCCTCGGGAAGCCTGATGCAATACCACTTCCCTCTGACTGAAACAGTACATGCAGCTGCACGGTCTTCAGTGGGGCTATGCTGCTTTATACTTGTTGAAGAGCTGGTCCTATAAGACCATTTGTCCTTTTATTGAAACTACTGGAGAGGGGAGGTTGCTCAACACAAATCTGCATTTTATTTTATTTTTTGCTTGTATTTTATTTTTTGCATAACAAGTTTCAACTGCAGGTCACTGTGATAGTTTAAGTTTTATTAATGCTTTTGTACCTCCCCAACTGGCTAACATTTACAGCTCCTATCATACCGGATGGGCTATTAGGCTCGTTGAAATTCAGAAGAAAGAGGAAATGAGTTGCTCTACTCTCATTTCAGAAGTGGTGCGGCCTTCCTGAATTACCAATAACTAGACGCTTCTAGTCTTCCAGCCCTGGTCTCCCCCCATGTTTACTTATATGTTGTAAACTGTATGCTGTACAGATTCCTTCAGAGGATGTGCTTGTTATAACCAAAGAGTACTACCAGGAAAAGTGTAACTGCTGTCACAGTTTCACACTTTGCTATTGCATGAAACTTTGAGAAATGGTGGTATGAGTAACACACTCATGGCATCTTCTGGTATGTGTTTAAGGAACTAAGAAATACTTTGCTTTTGTTACTGCTCTAGGAAGGGGACTCCAAGCAGCTCTGTAGGGCAGGAAGACCTATAGTCTCAAAAATTATTAATCATTTTGAATGCCTCAATTTTCAGGGCCCAACTGAAGACATCTTAAAGGGGCTTCTCTTTCTGAAAGTGCTGAGCCCCTATGTCTGACAAATCAGGTCCCTTTAAGCCTTCTCAAACTGAAAACTGAGCCACCAAAAATCACTTCTTAAAATTCAGGCCAGTTTCTTTAAACGTAACTTCTAGAGCAGTGGTGGGCAACCTGCGGCCCATCAGGGTAATCTGATTGCGGGCCGCGACACATTTTGCAGATGTTGACCGTCCGCAGGCACGGCCCCCCACAGCTCCCAGGGGCCGCGGTTCGCCGTTCCCAGTCAATGGGACATTCCTGCAGCTCCCATTGGCCGGGAACAGAGAACCACGGCCATTGGGAGCTCCGGGGGCCCGTGCCTGTGGACGGTCAACGTCAGCAAAATGTCCCGTGGCCCGCAATCAGATTACCCTGATGGGCCGCAAGTTGCCCACCCCTGTTCTAGAGGATGGGGAGAAAAATGTTTCTTATGAAGAAACAGAGAAGTACAGCACAGAAAAGCTTTATGTTTTGTTTGAAAATTATCAGCTTATTTAAGATATAACTATGTATTAACCTGGTCACTATACTACACTGGACTCTCTCATTTGTCAGGTCAAGTGGAACCTTATCCACAGTCACATTGCAGAAATAGCAATCCTGCTGCTGTTACTCATGCACAAAAGGGACAAGAGTGGGATTCACACAAGAAAACAGCTTTTGGCTTACAACAAAAGACTCACAACTATGGACAACACCAAGAAACATGCAAACACTTGAAAGACCTGAAGAGAACAACTGCAAAAAAGAGTTCAAAACTTAATCTCTCTTTTCCCACCACCGAAGGCATCACTTAAATAAAACCTGGGCATGGCTTCTGATTCATGCTTTAATGACTTGTGGTCCTTTGGAGAAAGAGGTGTGAAGAGGGATTTCCTTGTCCCTTGTTTAGGCTTTAAAGTTGGTTCAGTATCAGAGGCACTAGACAGTCTTGTCACTCTTGACATTGAGTTTCCATTGCAGCAGATCTCTTAGCTGTCCTGTTCCACTTTGTTTTCTCTCCTTTGAGGTCCAAGTTCAAATGCTGGAAACTGGGAAGTCTCTGGTACCAATATGTCCGATAGGAAATGAATAGCTCCCGCCATGCCTGAAACATACAAACTGATTTCTTATTACAATAGCTTAAGAAATTAAAAAACAATCAATCAGTCAGAGTTCAAACCAGATATATCAGAACCCATTTTAAAACCTCCAGCCAGCAGTCTGCTCTGAGCGGGGGGGATCCTTATGTGCACATGGAGCCCCAAAGCCACTGAGATTTTGCAAGGGTGCAAGTTTCACCTGTATGGATCCAAATTGCAGGACTGAGGCCTTAAATTGTGCACACTGTGGGGCACTCTGGATCTGCAGAGTCTGGCACTACCTCAACCTATATCAATAATCAAAGAGCCTAGGGGGCAGGGATAGGTCAGTGGTTAGAGCACTAGCCTGCTAAACCCAGGGTTGTAAATTCAATCCTTGAGGGGGCCATTTAAGGAACTGGGGTAAAAATCTGTCTGGGGATTGGTCCTGCTTTGAGCAGGGGGTTGGACTAGATGACCTTCTGAGGTCCCTTCCAACCCTGATATTCTATGATTATCCTAATTTAGATTGTGTCTGATACTGTACCTCACATTCTTCATGGTGCTATTATATGACTATATCATAATGGTGATGTATTTTATGCAACATGGGTCGTGTCAGGTGTCATTGGAAAAGTTATGATTTGCTGAATATGATTATCCTATTTGTATGCATGTATCATTTTTATATCTGAAGTTATAAATACTGACTATGTATCTGTACTTCAAATGTAGGTAATGCCCACTAAACTAAGATGCTTTCAGTCTAGATAGCTGGTTGGGAGGCCTATTCAGTAGGGTGACCAGATGTCCCGATTTTATAGGGACAGACCCGATTTTTGGGTCTTTTTCTTATATAGGCTCCTATTAACCCCCACCCTCTCTCCCGATTTTTCACATTTGCTGTCTGGTCACCCTACTATTCAGGGCAACGAGGCATTAGGGAAAACAATAGGCATTAGGAGAAATTTATCTCTCACCTGGTAAGCCTTCCTGAGAACACTCCAGACAGCCTGTAAGTAATGGCTGCTATGACTCTGCAAGAACATGTGACCAGGCCACATGATTCTGGACTCCATCTTGGGATGTCAGTATTTCTCCACAAAGTGGTCTGGGAACCAAGTTTTAAAATAAAGGGTTCCTGCCATATGCAAAAGCTATATAAGGCAGGGAATGACCTCATCTGTGGTTCTTCCCTCCCCACACAAGAAGATTCCTGGAAACACCCGAGGAAAAAGACTGAACTCGGGGAAGTGCTGGACCCAGGCTAAAGGGATTTCTAGCCTGTGTATGGAGACCTGAGAAACCCAAGCTGTAAAGCTAATGCAGCCTGTGCCTTAAGAATCTACAAGTCTGCCTGTACCATCAGTTAAGGTGAGAATCTGCTATTCATATCCAATCTCTCTAGTATATTAAGCTTAAATTGCATTTTTTTTATTTGCTAGGTAATCTGCTTTGATCTGTTTGCTATCCCTTAAAATCTATATTTTGTAGTTAATAAATTTATTTGATGTTTTAATCTAAACAGCGAGTTTGGAGTGAAGTGTGTGGGAACCTTAACTCAGAGGGGCTGTTGCATATTCCTCTCCACATTGTGTGTGAGGGGAACACTATGAGCTTATGCTGTACAGTTCCCTGTGCAGTGCGAGACGGTATCATTTGGGGTTTATGCTCCAGAGGGGGTGCGTGCCTGGGGAGCTGAGAGTTACCTTGGCTGTAGCCTTTCTACTGCTGGTACATGCAGTGACTAGTCAGAGAGCCTGCATGCAACTGCAGCTGGGTGTGTCCCTACCTATGTGTATGCTGGTGGAAGTGTAAGACCAGGAGTGTGTCTGCAGTTTGTCACAGAAGCACAGTGTGACAGGCTGGTAGGTCAGAGGGCTCAGCAGTACCCCAGTTCCAAGTGGCACCCCAGGGGTAACCTGTCACAGTGTCTCCATAATAGCAACTCTTGAATAAAATTTAAAAAAAAAAAAAAAAAAGTCACCCTTCTTTTCTGAACCCTGGTTTATCATAATAAATGTCACCAATTCCATGCCACTGGATAAACAAGGTATTAATATATTTATTGTTATCAGGAAGGTAGTGCCCAGAGGCCCTAATCAACCTCAAGGCCCAATTGTGCAAGGTCTCATACAAATACATGGTATTAATGCAAGTAAAATTTGGATTCCATGAACTTTAGAGCGACTACTGCTATTCTACAAAGCCATCTGTAATGTTTTCTAAATGGAGTTCTGCCATTATTGATGTATAGTATGTAATCTTGTTAATGTTGCAGTTTAACCACTTCTTAAAACAATTTTTAAATGCCCACCTTAAAAGTAACACTAACCACCCAGTTACAGGCCCCGATTCATGACAGCACTTAAGTATGTGCTTAACTTTAAGTAATGGAACTTTAGCATATGCTTAAAGACATGCTTAAACGTTTCCCTGAATAGGAACGTTTTCCTGGTTCAGAGTCTCGGATGCTCAATAAAAATTAATATATTAAAAACTCTTCTCTTCCTACTAGGCCCAAGTATCACCCTACAACGTGCACATGCAGCTCCTAGTGACTTTAGCAGAAAGAGAGAGAGTACACACGAGAGAGAGTGTGTACGCATGTGTGCACAAGAGAGGAGCAATTTGACTCAGACTTGAAAAAATTTGGTTAGACAGAGAGAGAGAGAGAAAAAAAAAAAAGAAAACTTGGCAAAGTTCCTCCAAATTGTAACTTCCATTTTTTGTAGCTGCGGGTCACATTAACCCCTAGACAGCCGTGAGTGGCTTTCTTTCTGCATCATGTTCTCAGTGAGTTTCTAAGCTTCTATTCTACAAATAACTCCACGGGTGACTTTGCTTCCACTACATATAAAGATCCAGTCATGATTGCTGCAGAAAGCAGCAGTTAATTCAGGGCACCATATCAGAAATACGAACACTATAATCATATTCTTTACCCCAACTGCATTTGGAAGAGGTGCATATAACAGCTGCTAACACAAAAGCCCTTAGATTGCATTACTATTCTAAAAAACACACATATAAAATCCTCTGTAATTCCCCATACTTGTGATAGGTGGTGCATTAGGTTCACTATCAAAGAACAGCAAAGCTATTTTTAAGCCTTTTAAGGGCGAAGATTATTGTTCTGTTTTGAGTTTACAAAAGATAAAGATTTACAAGAGAGCGTTAGAAAAATATAAACTCTACTTTTCTACTTGTTCATGGTAGAACAGTGGTTCTCAAACTAGGGCTGCTGCTTGTTCAGGGAAAGCCCCTGGCGGGCCGGGCTGGTTTGTTTATCTGCCGCGTCTGCAGGGTGGCCAGCACCTCCCTCGGCCCGCGCCGCTTCCTGCAGCCCCCATTGGCCTGGAGCGGCGAACCGCGGCCAGTAGGAGCCAAACCGGCGGACGCAGCAGGTAAACAAACCGGCCTTGCCCGCCAGTGGCTTTCCCTGAACAAGCGGCGGCCCTAGTTTGAGAACCACTGTTGTAGAATATTTAAGTGACACAGGAAGGCCTTTAATCAAAACACGGCATTTCTTTTCTTTAGCTGTGTGGATGAATTTGGTTAATATTGGTACTCAAGAAAGGACTAATAGAACTAAGTCTGGCCCTAGGCAGGCCTAACAGACAAATTTTCTTACGGGCCTCTGTCAAAGAAACAAACTACTAATCTGCAATGCCGTTGCAATTCCGGTCTGCTGCTCACTCAGTAATTATGATTTATAGGATAGTTCTGTGATGCACAACAACTATCCAATTGCCCAGACTCATGCTTGCTTATGACCCAAAAAGGCTCCAAACACAGGAGAGATTAATGAATAAACCAGTGCCCCGAATGAATAAACCATGAAATACCCAGTGGCACCAGTTTTATATTGAAAATTTGTAGAATGCAGCTTTTAAAAGGTTTTTCCCCAATAAAGGAAAACATAACCGTTTTTCTGACTTCCAGTCACATGCCTTACCACAAGATTGTCCTTCTTCCTAATACAACCCAGCCTGCAGCAACAATACTTTACCTTCAAATAGAGAGTAGGGTCGGTCAGGAATACGACATCCATGTGCACCATACTCTAAACACCACTCTGCAAACTGTGGGAGAGAGGGAAAAAGAAAAGGAAAACAGAGTGGCTTAAATGTGTACGTATACAGATGCAAGCTTGGACAGCAGCACATAAAGCCACCTTTTAATATATAGAAAATGCAATGAGGCTCAAGCAGAGAAACAAACTGGACTCATTATCCAAGATTAAATTGTCCTGCCTCAACTAGGCTAAGACTTCAATTAGTTTTCAGGAAACTGGAAATGCAGATTAACTGAAATCCACTACATGGTGATATAGTTTAATTAGTGGGGCAGATTTTACGTACACTTTTCACTGAACATCTTGGGGGAGGAGGGGGAGAAGAGGAAAGAAAAATGCTGCAAGAACATATTTGTATGTCAATTTGAAGGGCAAGCAGAGAATGCACCATAATGGCAACAATTTCTCCCTCTCCCTTCTAATGTATCCTTGCGGTCATGAGTAATGCCCATTAATCACATTTCTGTGTCCTTACATTGCTCACACTTCAATTTAGAATATTTAATATTCAACAGCCATTACATTACTAACCTTATTTTGTCCACCCTGAGCATTATGGTAAATCAGTTGGATCATTAAGGTCGTCAATCTTTTGTTTTCAAGAACTTTCCATTTTCTGCCTCAACTGGGCAGAGGGCGCCATTGAAAACTGTATTGTTTTCCGATATGCCTGATTAACAGTAGTTGGTATACTTTGTATAGGGAATGCTACAAGTACTGGGCTAACATTAATTACTTGCAAATTGCATTTGGAAAGATTTTAACAGCAACGATAGTTTAAAAGCTCTTTTATGGGCCTCTCAGAAGCAATATCTGTGGATCCCACCTACTCCCTTGGTCTCTCCATGTGCTTTGCTTTTCTAACATGTTTCAGCTCTGAGTCCTCTATTACTGGAACAGTCCTGCAAAGCACCCATTTAAACAAATTTCCCCTGTAATTTGAACAGGCTTATAGAGAATAGTTTTTCCTTCTCAGTAGAGGTCACCATTGCTCCATTTGTACTAGAGTCTAGCTATAGCATATTTTTTTGTCGTTTGGTTCTACTGCACCCAACAATAGCCACGAGACCAGACCAAGAATCAATTAATCAGAAGCAAAAGGAAAGTCTCACCCTCCTTCCTCGCACATATTCCTGAAAAATAACTCCTTCGTTTAGTGAGAGGAGAGTGATGCTTTTAGAAAAGAGAAAGTATTAGTACTCATCTCAAATAATTTTTAGGCCCAGTTCTGCCCTCAGTTATGCAGGTGTGACTCCCACTGAAGTCTACAAATTACTCTCCCTGTAATGGAGAGCAAAACTGGACTTTTGTCTGCAAAGTGTTTCTAACCTTAATGACTTCTCATGGCATCCATGAAAGGTAAAGTATCATTATTATTCCAGGAATGGAAGCAGAGGTTAAGTGACTTGCTGAAAAACTCTGAGGGGAAATCGGTATCAGAGCTGGATTATAAGTCAAAAGTTCCTAGCTCCAAGTCGGGGTGACGGGGGTGGGGGGAGAGGCGGGGGGGGGGGGCGCGAAGAGAGAAAGCCAGGCAGGCATGTTCATCAAGAAAGCAGCTTAGGGTGCCATCTAGTTTCCACCCAGATGGACTTTCTGACTTCAAAAATTCCGTTTGTGTTAAAAATGCTTTTACCCTCACTGAGATTCTGTTTCACGCTGCTAATTAGGTGACAGAAGGGGTGGAGACACCATCTACCTCTGATCATTACTTAGTCTTTCCATTTTATATTGTTACAATTTTATTCAGCAGAAAAAAAATTTCAACAGTCCCAGATACACAAGGCCCAGAAGATCAGCGGTACCTACAGCCACTGCCAGACAAGTTTATTCAACTAATGGGACAATCTGTTGCAAGCCGAACAAAAAAAAAAAAAAAACAACCCACATTAAATAGCTGTTATTTGAAAAGCCAGAAGATTGAAGCATTCAGGCAAGTGATCTCTCTCTGACTCAATAACTCCCAACCTCTGCTCTCTTCCAAGTCCTCTTAACGGTGCAAGAAATAGCCAACAAGCAGCTGTGCCATTATCAAAGATTCTTGGGTGGATTCTCTACCTTCAGCCTCATGCTTTCAGTGTGATCAGATACTGTGGTGACAGGAGCCATACAATTATCTAGCTAGATAGGCGTAGGTACCCAGTGTGACTGGACATCTTGTTACATACTGCTCCATACAAGAGAGATTTTACAAACTGCCTTAGCACTTTTGAAAGTCTCTCCCTTAAAAGACATTTAAAAATGTTAAAAATGTTAAATGCTTCAGAACCTTGGAGACTACAGGACGCAAAGTGGCTGTAATATATTACCAGATATTACAATCCTTCTGTCCTCCCACAAAGGGCATATGACAAAACTTAACCCGATTAGAAAAGGAGGAGGATGGTCCAGGGGTAAGGGCACGAGCCTGGGAGTGGAAGAACTTGAATTTGACATCTTATATGGCCTTGGGTAAGTCATAGTCTCCCTGTGCCTCAGTTCCCCATCTGTAATATGGTATTAATAGCACTTCCCTAACTCACAGGGGTGTTGTAAGGATAAAGATAAATTAGAATTCAAAACAGTACAGAAAAGGGCAACAAAAATGATTACGGGTATGGAACAATTTGCATATGAGGAGAGATTACAAAGACTGGGACTGTTCATCTTAAATCTATAAAATCATGAATGGTGAAGAGCAGTGATTCTCAACCAGGGCTACGTGTATCCCTGGGGGTACTCGGAGGTCTTCCAGGGGGTACATCAATTCATCTAGATATTTTCCTAGTTTTACAACAGGCTATATAAAAAGCACTAGCGAAGTCCGTACAAACTAACATTTCATACAGACAATGACTTGTTTATACTGCTCTATATCCTATACGCTGAAATGCAAGTACAATATTTATATTCAATTGATTTATTTTAAAATTATATGGTAAAAATGAGAAAGTAAACAATTGTTCAATAATAGTGTGCTGTGACACTTTTGTGTTTTTATGTCTGATTTTGTAAGCAAGTAGATTTTAAGTGAGGTGAAGCTTGGGGGTATGTAAGACAAATCAGACTCCTGAAAGAGGTACAGTAGTAGTAGTCTGGAAAGGCTGAGGGCCACTGGTGTAGAGAAAGTGAATAAGGAAGTATTATTTACCCCTTTACATATAACAAGAACCAGGGGTCACCCAATGAAATCAACAGGCAGCAGGTTTAAAACAAACATAAGGAAGTTCTTTACACAATGCACAATCAACCTGTGGAGCTCGTTGCCAGGGGATGTTGTGAAGGCCAAAACTATAACTGGGCTCAAAAAAGAACTGGATAAGTTTGAGGAGGATAGGGTCCACCAATGGCTATTAGCCTAGATGGTCAGGGATGCAACCCCATGCTCTGAGTGTCCCTAAGCCAGTGACTGCCAGAAATTGGGACTGGATGACAGGGGAATGGATTGCTCGTTAATTGCCCTGTTCTGTTCATTCCCTCTGAAGCATCAGGCTCTGGCCACTGCTGGAAATCAGGATATTGGGCTAGATGGACCATTGATCTGACCCTATATGGCTGTTCTTATGTTCTTAAAAACACTGAAGGATTGTGAGGCACTCAGACATTATGGTGATGGAGGCCATATAAAGTACCTAAGATAGATTGCATTAGACCTGGTCAAGACAGATTGACCTACAGACATTACATATGCTACGTGACTGCTAGTGATTTATACAATTGTTTAGATCTACATCTCTAATGCCACTCTCCTTCAAATCATGCTGCTTCCCTGGACGAATCCAGAGCTGGAAGACAGGAAGTCCTGAGGTCTGATACCAGCTAGGCCTCTGGCTTGCTGGGCACTACAGTAAATATCAGAGGATACAAGCAAACAGAGGGCCAACAGTTTTAAAACTTTCGACTGTTCCACAGTGAAATGTTCGGAATCCACACAGCCTCTGTACAGATGATTTGAAGACAGTTGGGAGACTATTTTTCAAATTTCCTGTTGAAGTATTTTAAAAATAGTCTCAGACTATACAGAAAGGTCTACGATTGTCTAATTAACTTCAGCGAGTTAAGGCTCATGACATCCTGGTGAGATAAGAAAACAGAGGCACAGAGCTCAGATGACTTTCCCAAGATCACAAAGGAAGCAGTATGTCAGAGCAAGGATTAGCTCTCAAAGCAGTACTCAGACCATGGGGCTCTTAAGCCCAGCAAAAAGTAATCAACTCATTTTATATACATTAAAATTGAATCCATGCGATTCAAAGTTCTAGAACCCCAAGGTAACAACTAGTGTGAAAGCCAATGAACCAAAGTATAATCATTACAGACCACTAAACAGTCACTGCTAGATCAGATGTAACCCGTAGCGGATATCACAAGGGAATACCTATAGTATATTTTTAATATCACAATAGAACACTGGTTAGCTACGTTTAGAGCAGGTATCATCTTTTCAGGCCACTCCTATTTCTGATTCTAAACACTCCCTACATTTTGAGAATTAAATAAAAAAAGTTACAGGTAGCATAGAAATATTATTCCTTTTTATGATATTAGGGTATGTGATGTTTGCAATTAATCACACAGAAATTCATACATGACTGTAGCCAGCAGAGAAGAAGCAATGCAGTAAATCCCACCTTGCAAGCCCGGTAGAGATACTTTTTGTCCTCAGTTAGGTGATAGAGAGATAAGAAGGAGTAGCCATTGCCAGCGGTCCCATGGCAGATTCCATACCCTTTCCTCAGCAAACCTCTCTGCCAGATGACATCACTGCAGTCCATGGCATCCTTCAAATATTTATCCTCTTTAAAGCTCTATGGAATAAGAAAAACACTCAAATTCAACCAACCTACCCAGCAACAGAGAAAGGGAGTGGAGAATGGGGCAAGTTTCATCCGTTCTCTAGCTATTTATAATCCACCCATCACGGCAATAATTTTCCTCTCTTACCAGACTGCTTCCCCTCCTGTGCAGGATAAAAGAAAATTAAGAGGACTTTATGAATCTGAAAGCATGATCAAAAGAAAAAACAAGATCCGTATCTTAAATTCTAGATTCTCTCTATAGTCCACATTTATCATCTATCTCTCCTTTTTTCACTACTCCCCCCTCCTCCAAATTGTGACTGTGTTTGATTTAAACTTGAAATACAAAAGGGTTATTCTAATTAGATTCATGTAACAGATGGGGGCACAAGGGGTTTCAGCCCCAAGCCTTCTGGTTGAGGTCATGGTGACTTCTGGCCAAGGGCAGGTTCTCCCTGTTTCTACATTGAAACGCTGTCAAAGAAATGCTTTACATTTCATATTACCCAGTATGGCATTTGCCTCTTTACCAGAAGCACAACAAAGAGCAGTACATTGCCTTGACTACAGATCATTGTTCGTACTGCAGTAGCTCTGCGAGGCACTAGCCCCATTGTGCTAGGGACCATACAAGCATTCCTCCCAGCCTGACCTTCAGCTGTGTTTCAAACACCAAGAACCCACTCTTGCAGACTTTACTCACACCCAAAACTCCTTCTAAAGTTATGTTATGGAATCCATCAGGAAAGCAGGGAATGAAACAGATGGTTTTCACTGAGACAACAGAGACCTGTAGTCTTAAGCAGCCAGTTTCTGCTCTTCTCTATCTGGTCTAACTCAGATCAGCAGCAAGTCAAAAAAGGGATGGTTAACATGCTTAGAGGTTTATAAAGCCTTGATCTATCAGCGGCTGTCATTAAGCAAGTGAATAGTACCATCAGTATGAGTTTTTTTTTTATTTTATTTTATTTTATTAAATAGTTTCATGAGCTTTGTAAAATTCGACCAACAAGGCAGAGAAAACATCTCACTATCTGAACAACTTCTCTGTTACCACACAAGGACAGTCCAGTTACAAGACTTAACTTGAAGGCTGGATGATTGGTTCTAGTTTCCAAGGCGCTACTTTCCATTACCTAAATCCCTCTTAGTCAACAGATCGTACTCCATACTGTAAAGTATCTCTTCAATTACTTTTTATATTGCTCTTTAAGAAAGGAGACTGAGAAGTAAAAAGAAGCTGATTATGTGACCTGAACATCTTAAAAGACAAGGTAGGGCCAAAGAAGTGTCTGCCAACCAAAAATGTTCCTGATCCTCTCAACTCCTCAAGATATACAGCATTTTGTGCTGAGAAAGCATCACATCGGGAAGGGGAAAATGGATTTTTGCAGTGTCCAATCACCCTTCCTCTCAGAGCACATGCTCCTGTGGCTTCTGTTGCATTCAGAAACACTTTAGGAGGTTTACAGTTCAAATTTCAGGTAGCAGTGCACATAATTATACAGATAACCATGAACGCTTTTCATCAGCCCACTCAAAGACCAAGCAGAGAACCTGCCAAGGCAGCTTGTCAAGAACAGGAATCAATTTGCATAAATTTAATTAAACTGCTTGCTTACTAATGTTCTGTGACTCAGAGCTCCGGAACCTGAAAACAGCAGCAGAATCAGTGAGGATACATAGGAACAAAGACTAGGCTAGTGCTAAATTACTGTGATAGGATACACATTATATTTGTCAGGCATCTGGGATCTTTGTAATCTGACATCAGCAGTAAGCGCTACATCTTAATAATACTACAATCCTTAAAGTAAAAGGTGGTTTAGAGATATTGATTTTTAAAATTAAAGACACCTTTAACATTCTGAATAAAGACTCAAAGATTACAGACCAAGATTTCAAAACTAGGAGCCTGAAGATCAAAAATTACTTCTGTAGACATACGGACACCTGAGGATGTGTGCGTACATGTATAAGAGAAAGACTTACCTTATAAGCTTGCATTAGCACGTGGATGACTCCCGGTGCACCATGGCACCAGTGGACTAGTCTATCCGTTTCATTGCTTAATGATGATGGATAGTTCCCAGATCTGAATTTTTTATGACGTACATAGTCAATGCTCGGTTTCACCAGCTCCGTCAGGGTCTCCTGATCCACATTTGAAACTGGCTAAGAACAAAATAATCACATATTAAAATGCAATTCTTTACTCTGTCCATTCGATTTTGCGTACACAAATTCTCATACGTAGAAAATTCCATGTACAAATCTCAAAGCTCTTTATAAGCATTTCATTAATTTAGCCTCACAATACCCTTATGAAAAGCAGCATTATCCCCTTTCTACAGATGGACAAATTGAGGCACGTTGGGTGACTTACATCAAGAGGACCCAGGATGACTGTGGCAGAACTGGAATAGAACACAAGTTTCAAGACTCCTAGACCTCTATCAATGCCTTACATCACAAGAGAGCACTTAAGGAGGAAGGCGGTTTGGTTATTTACAACACACACTTGAAGACAAAAGATATATAAGCCCAGTCTGGTTTTAAAACAATGGCCTAACTGCGTGAAATACAAACCTGGCATGAGCTGTCCCTCATAAGGCAGCTAGCAGAGTACTGTTGTACTGTTGTGGCCAATGACTCATCTTTCTAAATGTTTATGACGGTAAAGTATTTTCATCATAAATAAAGCTTCCTAAACCTATGGACAGCTGAAGAAAGTAAACAAACTGAGTGGCAGGAGCTAACACAGTCAGCCCAACAGTCGGTTGGGAAGAATCACATCCAGAAGACAGACATCAAGGACCAGATTTTCAATATTTATTTAGGTGCCTGCCTAGTGTTGCAGATAAGTGCTTTTGAAAATCTTCGTAGGTGCATTTGTGAATCTTTAGGCACCTAAATATCTTTGAAAAATGCCATTCTTCCCCTAAAAGAACGAGGAGTACTTGTGGTAGCTTAGAGACTAACACATTTATTTGGGCATAAACTTTCGTGGGCTAAAACCCACTTCAATGGATGCATGCAGTGGAAAATACAGTAGGAAGATAGATAGATAGATAGATAGATAGATAGATAGATAGATAGATAGATAGACACACAAACACACACACACACACACACACACACACAGAGAACATGAAAAAATGGGTGTTGCCATACCAACTATAAAGAGACTAATCAAATAGCCCACCTTCATTGATTACTCTCATTATAGTTGGTATGGCAACACCCATTTTTTCATGTTCTGTGTGTGTGTGTGTGTGTATGTATATATATATATGTATATATATATATATATATATATAAAAAATACAGTAGGCATATATATATACTGTATTTTCCACTGCATGCATCCAATGAAATGGGTTTTAGCCCAAGAAAGCTTATGCCCAAATAAATTTGTTAAGTCTCTAAGGTGCCACAAGTACTCTTGTTCTTTTTGCTGATACAGACTAACACGGCTACCATTCTTCCCCTAGATACTCCCCATGACTTCGCATTAATGTTAATAGGATTTACATTCTTGCCATAGAGGAGAGTATACCCACTGAGTTGCATGCCCACTTCTAGGTGAAGTGCTGATACCAATACCTTTATACTTAATTAGTAAGTACATTGTGGGGTTTGCAGGTGTTCCTAATTAACATTCATCTCCCCTCCCACCTACTTTATGGGATTTTCACAATAAGGCTCTATTCTTTTCCAAGCCCACATGATATCTGAAATTCCTGAAAGCCTTGGGCGTAGCAGGGACCCCGTAATTGAGTCAGTGACAGGGACCTCATCAGTCTTTTTAAATTATTGCCCACTGTGCTCAATTTTATTACAGTGCTTCTGCAGATCTGCATTTAATAGGACAGCACCCCGCTGCAAATTCATACTCCTAGAGCCAAAGGAGAAGACTTTAAACATCTACAGCTTTCAAATATGTTCACCTTGAAACTGCAATATCTATTTATTTGGTTTTTTTCTTATGTCAGACGAGGAATGTTTACTTTGCTGGCCTAGTTAGTTATAAGTACCAAAGTCAGCTACTGTGCTATCAGTGGGTGACGTTATTGTTTCACCATTAATCACAGGTACTTACATAAATCCCTCAGCTCTCCAGCAAAGCACAGAAATGTAGGGCTGGAAGGGACCTCGAGAGGTCATCTAATCCAGCCCCCTGCACTAAGGCAGGATTAAATATCTCTAGACCAGCCGATCTCAACTCGCGGCCTAATCAGCACACAGCTGTAGCCCATGCGATATCCTCAGGGCTGTAACTATGGTCGGATGGGAGGAGCACCTGCCCCAGGCACTGAGCTGGCGGGGGAGAGGGGGTGCAAATTCAGGCCCAGCGGTGTCAGCCCCCCGCCCCCAGCAGGATCAGACCCAGTAGCATCAGCAGGAGACCAGGGTGCTCAGTGCCCCCCCCACACCACAGGATTGCAGGTCCAGTGACCCTGGCTGGAGCAGGCTCCCTAGCACTAGGACCACAGCGGCAAGTGGGCAGGGCAGGCGGCACAGCTGAGCTACCTGCAGTGGAGGTAAGAGACCAGTGGGCATGCGGGGGGAGGGGTCAGGGAGCTAGGACTGCAGAAGGGGGTTGCAGCTGATGCGTAGGGAACTGGTGGCCGGAGGCAGTCCCTGGATGGGGGGCTAGATATTAAGGCACAGTCCCTAGGTGGGGAGCTAGGTGCATGGGAGGCAGTCCCGGGGTGCGGGGCTGGAAAGGACAGTCCCTAGAGGGGCTATTCGGCCCCAAACAGGGCACCCTGTCTCTGCAGGGCAGGCATGTGTGCCAGCACAGCGCAAGGGGGTCTAGATACTGGGGAGGCACTCCGCACCATGCAGGGCTCCCATCTTTACAGACAGGTTCCACAGCTGCGCTCTCCGGGTGCTCAGCCCAGCCACCAGCAGCAGCACAGAAGCGAGGAGGGCAATACACCCTGCCATGCAAACCTCACAGTACATTAATTAATTTTAACAGTTAATGTTTTGACTTTTTTTGCTAATTTAAAATGCTCTTCGTAGACATTTGCCAGTGTTGAAATGAAAGGCCCTATATCAATTTGAATCATAATGCTGTCGGATAACAAATACTAAACCTAATTTTTTTGTAGATGTACAGGTAGTATATATATTGTGTAGATGCAGCCCACATAACACAGAGACCTGCATATGCAGCCCACGATGGTAAACACGTTAAGAACCACTGCTCTAGATCATGCCTGACAGGTGTTTCTCTAACCTGTTCTTTAAACTCTTCAAATGACAGGGATTCCATGATGAATTCCCGGAGAGAAGAGAAACTTTTGAGTGAGTGGCGATTCACAACTAGATCTAGATGGTGCTGCAGTGTCACAGAAATGACTCTCCAGTCAAGAATCTTAGGGCTAATCTTAGGCCTTTGATAGAAGGCAGGAGCTCTGGTAGCAAGCGTGCCTTAGGCACTGTCTACACGACACAGTTAGATCGATGCAAGGCAGGTTACATCAACCTAGCTGTGCATGTGTCTACACTTAAATTAGGCTCCCATGGATGTAAGTGCCCTGTCATGCCTACTTAAGAACACCACCCCTCTGAGCGGCATACAGCTACGGTCAATGTACTTAGTGTAGACATTAAGGCTTGGTCCACACTGGGGCGGGGGATCGATCTAGGAAACGCAACTTCAGCTACGAGAATAGCGTAGCTGAAGTCGACGTTTCCTAGATCGAACTAAGTTTACTTACTGCGGGTCCACGCGGCGCAGGCAAGCTCCCCCGTCGACAGCGCTTCCTCCTCTCGGCAAGCAGGAGTTCCGCAGTCGACGGGGGAGCGCTTCTGGGATCAATTTATCGCGTCCAGATGAGATGCGATAAATCGATCCCAGAAGATCGATCTCTGCCCGCTGAATCAGGCGGGTAGTGTGGACCTAGCCTAAGTTACTTAAGGCGACCGTAACTGTCCTCCAGCAGCTATCCCACAATGCCCCACACTGACATCTCTGGTCACCATTGTGAACTCTGCTGTCGGGGTCACAGAATCTGGAAACGCATTCCTTCCCCTTTAAAGCCCTATGAATTTTTGAAATTCCTTTTCGTGATTGCCCAGCTTGGCAAGCACACCTAGCAGCTCTCCATTGTTATATGCAACTGCCCAGCTGACCATGCTGGCTACACACTCCAGACACACATCTGGCTGGAGTAGACAGGAGATACTGGATCACCTGGGTCTGTGGGGAGAGGAGGCTGTGCGGGCACAGCTCCAAACCAGCCACAGAAACGTCAACATCTATGAGCAGATTGATCGGGGGGATGCAGGAGAAGGGGTCTAACAGAGACCAGCAGCAGTGCTGCATGAAAGCCAAGGAACTGCGGCAGGCATATCACAAGGCCAGGGAGACCAACAATCGATCTGGGGCCGAGCCGCAGACCAGCTGCATTTACAAAGAGCTGCATGCTCAGACTTGGCAGAGACTCCACCACCCCCAACAGCACTGCGGATACCGCCAGTGAGCCAGAGTCACAGGCCCCTGCTGCGAACAGCGAGGAGGAGGAGGAGATGGTGAAGAAGAGGAGGAGTACGGGGAACAGGCAATCGGGGGGGATCCAGCTGTGCAGCAAGCCAGGACTCCACCTCAGTCCAGCCAGTCGAGCATGGATGAACCCGAAGCAGAGGAAGGAACCACGCGTAAGTGTGTAGATATTCAGTTACAGGGATGGCACCCCCCCAAAGAAGCAGGATACATCTTTGGACCTTTCATTAATTTACTCATGCTGGAAGAGATGGTGGTACAACCGAGAGAGGTAGAGTTGCTATCTGCTTTTCATTCCTTCTAGAGCAATGGGTCTCAAACTTTTTTTTACTGGTGACCCCTTTCACATCGCAAGCCTCTGAGTGCGATTCCCCCCCCCCCCCAGTAAATTAAACACCCTTTTAAATATATTTAACACCATTATAAATGCTGGAGGCAAGCAGGGTTTGGGATGGAGGTTGACAGCTCGCGACCCCCATGTAATGACCTCGTGACCCCCTGAGGGGTCCCGACCCCCAGTTTGAGAATCCCTGTTCTAGAGTAAGGCAGGGGGCAGGCAGAGCAGTTTGTTTACATGCACAGGGATGTCCCAGGAATCCTCCAGAGAGATCTCAATGAAACTTCCATGGGGGTATTCTGCAATCCTCTGCCAAAGGTTTCTAGGGAAGGCTGCCTTCCTACACTACTCAGTGATAACTTCAGCAGGCACCACTGCAGTACACGGGCTAGCAGCATACACAGGCCCATGCAGCTTCAGGACGCCAGCAGCAGTTGTGCTCTCTACCTTTGTTACCCTCAGGAGTGAGGCATAGCTAAAATCACCACCACCTGTGCAAAACGGTGCCAGTATCCAGTGCCCCTGCCCTACGCTACTACATAGCGAATACACGGACAATAATGCCTGGGTCAGATAAGAAGGAGAAAGGAGAGGACTCAAGGTGACATGTTCAATGAGATCCCGCAGGCCAATGCTGCATCAGACAGCAAGCACAGGGCCTGGAGCATGAACATTGCGGACAGCCTGGAGAAGGATAGGGTAGAGAGGAGAAAGGCACAGGAAAAGGAGAGGGAGATGTACCAGGACATAATGGTACCCATACCAATATGTCCTCCAAGGAATCGTCATGTTCCCCATGGCTCTGCAAATACTGCAGGATCACGTGCCCTGTGCTTGCAATGCTATGACAATAGTGCAGAGCTGTCCAGGCTCCATGTTTTTGTCAGAGAGGACAGACATCGAGAACAGCCATGCGGGTTTGTGGGATTGTGTGTGTGGGGGGGGGGGGGGGGGGGGAAATGCAAAAATTATGGAGATACAGATGACGTTACGGGATGGAGACAGTTGCAAACTGGCAAGTTGACCCCATGCTCCCAGTCACCCTGGCACAACTTGTTTCAGCCCCATCATGCACTGCCAAAGCTTCCCAAAAGACAGTGCATTGGATGGTGAAGAGTTGCACACTGGTATACCTACTCATGGTGCACCACACTCTGCATAGATACAGCGCGCTGACATAAGGAGACAAGCATGCACGCGCACAAATGATGCGCTTACTGCGGCAGCTGTATGCCGACATAAGTTGAGTTGACATAAGTTGCTAGTGTAGACATGGCCTTAGACACACAGCCTCAAATTGTGCACAGGGGGAGTGTAGCCACTGGACCACCTTTTGATTGCGCCAGCAGTGTGTAGTCCTTGTGCCACCTCAGTGCAATTGTATTCTGTCCTCATGCAGGGATACACCTGCGGAGTGAGACTTTTTACATCTTTCTTTCCTTGCTTGTGCTCCCATTTAGGTCTGTGCAAAATCAACTATAATTTAAGTTGACCTTTCTTTTAAAGTTAAGAGCCAGTGATAGGACCCGTGTTTCTATAGAATGTTATTTCACTCAGACCACAACAATGGCACCAAGCTAGTAACTGGGAAGAATTACTGTCCCTAGCACAGATACAGCAGAGCCCACTATGGTAGACACAACGTATGCTGACAGGAGTTTCTCTGTCGGCATAGTAACACCACCTCACCAAGCAACATTTGCTATTCCAACTGAAGCACTCTTCCGTGGGCACAGTTGTGTCTGTACTGGGGGCTTCACTGGCATAGCAACGTTAGCTACAGGGCACTGTCTTTCCATGCCTCTGAACGACACAGCTATGCCGACAGAACTTTGTAGATTAGTCCTGGCCTGAGATCATAAGCTCTCTGGGAGAGGGACTGTCTTTTTGTTCTGTATTTGGACAGGACCAAGCAAAATGGGCCAATACAAATAATAAATAGAGTAGTTATTAAAGACACAAACTTACTAATTAGCTAAGAACTGTTAGATGGAGGGAAAGAGTTTATTTAATGATTAGAGGAGGGGACTTGGCCTTGAGATTTCTGGCTCATATCTGCTCGGGCTTGCTGCTACTTAACACTGCCGTGCCTTGGTTCATCCAGCTATAAATAGGTATACTAATACTTACTAACCTCACAGTGGTGTTGCAAGGAACTGTTTGTAAAGGGCTAGAGATCCTCAGATCACAGGCAGTAAGTACAAAGTAGGATTATAATTAAAGAAATAAAAAACTCCTAAGTTCTTTGCCAAAAAGTTCTCCTAGTATTGGCAAAAACCCACATATCTTGTTCCTTCTGCAGGAAGGGACTCAACTCTGAGTGAGTCACAACGTTTAATGTTCAATGAAAAGGCATAAACCTAATAATGTACAAGTAGGTTTTGTGGTAATAGTCAAAAGCAGCAATCTTACAGAGGAAGAAATTACAATTCTGCCTAGATTTATGATCAGAGTAGTTGCCACTTACAACCAGCAGTATTTGACAGAATTATTTCTGTTAATTAACCACCTGAAACAGCAAAGAAAGAGGAAAGGGCTGGAAAGACATGGTGATTTTCCTAAGGGAGGGGATGTTATCAGGAGGGTCAATGGAGTGGGGGAGGAGAAACAGGGGAGGAAAAGGGGAGCAAGAAAAGATGCAGAAACTTGTTGGGAAAAAGTGTTTTCTTGAGGAGGAAAAGTGGGAGGTCAAGGAGAGGGCACAGTAAATTATGGCACTCAGACTGAAAGGAAACAAATTCCTTGCACTTTGCGGGGAAAGGGGTGCTCTGCATGAGCAGATAAGAAACTTGATATTACCTGAGGCAGAACAAAGACTGCCAGCACCTTTGGAAAGTAGAGCGAGGGGCATAAATTAGACTTTGCAGCCCAATAGCTACAATGACATTTGCTGAAATTATTTCCAGATCTCATCACTAATATGAAGATGAGGCATGTGCAGCTTGTCTTCAAATGTCAGCTTCGCCTTTGAGAGTCACTGTGGGACCTGGGAGGGATGGCATTTGAGGTGCCGGAAAGAGGGAAAGTACAGAGGACAGCAAGTTGGTTAAGGGCAACAGGCAGGGCAGTGTTGTGGGCAACAACCCAAGGGAGTGGGGAACATCAGAATAAACCAGGCTAGAAATCAACAGGATGAAGGTGCTTGAGACAATGTAGTTTTTTGGAGTTGAGAGATGGTGGAAAATGTACTCAAAGCGGTGGTTGGTGTAGGCGAGATCAGGGAAAGAGGAACAAAGGCATTTCTGATGGCAAGTTCAATGCTGTGAACAGGAAAACAGGTGAGAGAAATAACTGAAGATTAAGAGCCAAGAGCTAATTTGGAAGAGTGAGGGTCAAGAGGGACCTTTAACACGCACAATAAAGTCCTCAATAAGATTCAGACATTACTAAGTTTTAGGGACCATTATGTTAAGTGACTGAAACTCTTAACTACTGTTTCATACAAAAGAACCTTACCTTGGAACACTAGTTTACCTACCTGCATTAGCATATAATAGATCCCAGCCACGCCATGGGCTGCTCCAATGTACTGCTTCCTGTGCCATTGGTACAACAGAGGGCAGCGTTCAGTCTTGCGCTCCTCCTTTGAGAAGTTTTTACCCGATTCAATAATGGCATCTACCACCTAATGTTGAAATAAAACAACAAACACTTGCCATGAATATCGCTTTCATTTATTCAGAGAGGACTACTTTACAAAGAATTGTAAGACACAACACTAGAGAGAATGTATCAAAGAATATGAGGCAATATACAAGTCTACCTCTGCACTACAAAATATCGTATTTCCTTATCCCATCAAGACTTTTAAGTGTCAGAAAAACTGCAATTTTTCTGTCCAATAAAAAGCTCTAACCTTAATTTGCCCTCCCTCCCTTGTGCGTGTGTATTATAATACAGTCTTTAATTACACAATCACATACTATTTTTTCCAAAGGATCCCTGCCTCATTTGGTGCACAGGACAAACCTGCGCTGAGATCAACAGGGCTGTGTAATGAAGGAGGCTGTTGTGTGTAGGTCACCTGCCTCATTTGTTGCAGAAGTTGGAAGGTGTGTAGTGAATGAGGCAGGGGATGTAGGAACAGAAAGGATGGGCTCAAGGTTAAGACAGTTGAATGCAGTCCTGAAGAATTGTCTTCTAACCCTTAATTAAGACAACCTTAATTCTGGCATTTCCTAACTTTTGAGTGCCTGACTTTGAAACCTTAATGATGTTCTTTTAACATACCTTTTGTGTGTGTAATTTCCTAGGGCGTTTTCTGTTTTTTTAAATAAAACCGGGGGTGGGGAGGAAATTCCATCATGTGGCATCATACGGATACCCACATGGGTATTCATCAACAGGGTTGGAATCTTTAGAGCCAACACATAGACCTCTGCCACTTGAGCTAAGAGAGTAACTGATAGCAGCAGTAGGTGTGAGGGATAAGACTCTTTGCCAGTGGGTTTCAGACACATTTCCTGACAACAAAGGAATGGTGAGACTCAAGAATACTCAGTTCCATTCCAGACTTTGGAGGGGTACGTTCTGCAGTAGGCACAAACTTTCCTGGTAATTCCCCACCCCAGCATGTTCCCTTCTGCTCAGTCCCCTCCAGCCAGTCCCAGCCTGGCTCCTTATTCAGTCCCAGATTCCTCGCAAGTGAGTCCCAGTTCCCCCCTCCTGTTTCCTTATCTGATCAGTCTCTCTCCCTCACTGTGGCCTCTAGTTCCCCCTGCCCGCTCCCACTGGGCTCTTCACCCAACCTGTGTCTCACCATCTCCACCCAGGTCATCACCAGCTAGTCCTAGTTCTCCCCCCATACCCCAGCTCCTCAGCACATGTCTCCCCTCCACCCTCCCCTTCTTTCCCACTGGTTCTCAGTCCCAGCTCCTCCCCCAATCTCAGTCTCTCCCACACATACTGACCCCCAAATTTTCACAGGGACTACAAAAGGCACATCCCTGAAACAAAGGCCACTCCTCCTGCCAAATTTCAAGTCCCTGCTCCAAAGCATGAAAGCACTAGAGCTTTTCAAAGAAAAGATCAGTTAAAAAAAACAAAACAACAACAAACAAACATTGACAGAACATGTTTCTCCCTAGCCTTGTACTCAGAAAAAGCTGACCTGAAAATTCAGGCTGAGGCAGATACCTGGCATGCAAAGTTTCAGCCCAATTGGTTAAAGTTTGGAAGAGTTATAAGCAACTGAAAACAGTCTTACAATGGGAAGTGTCAAGCAATCTTAATAAGCAGTGATTCCAGCCCCACCCCTATAATTAAGGTTTTGTTTAAAAGTATAAAATTTTAAAAGTTCAGTTGTATACTTAAGTACTGCTTTTGCTGTAGAAGAATTCACAAATTCTATATCCTCTTTCCTTTCATTGCATCTAGCTTTACTACTGTTTACATGGATTACTAAAGAAACAAGTTAGAGTGACAAGTGAAGTCCTTCATGAGTAAGAGCTAAACAGAGAGGACCTGTTTCTGACCTCATGTTGGTACAAGTTAGGAGTAACTTGACTGACGTTATAAGAGGGTAAATAAAAGCAGAATCAGGTCCCAAGTGTTTCTCCTCACTAAACTACCCCATGAACTCTCTTTTGCAGGTTAGGTGGAAGTTTACTTCATATTTTCTTTCCTGTATTTGAAGTGAAACAACAGATATGATTCCACCTCAAAGACACGGTAGTACCTGGCAATATGAAGTTTCCTACCTCTTTGATAACAGACTGAGGTACAGCGTCTGGACCAATTTCTGTATTCAAATAGAGCAAAGCATAGAGGTAACCTGCTCTGCCATAAAGAAGCTCATCTGGAAGTTCAGAGTCTGTGCTTATGATCGTTCTCTGGAGCTGCAAAAGCCTGGGTCAAAAAACAAAAAAAAAAAGAAAAAGTGTACCATCTCATTAGGACATACTAGAGTTCTCCTTCTGTATATGGTATGCTACCCAATCCAATCAAGAGGTAATGAGAGCTTGCTAAAATGTCTCACACATTTTGTTTTTGACTCAGGGAACATAATCAGAACAGACTTTTTTTAACCTCTCCTATGGCAGTTTTTGATTACTTAATAATAATGCTTTGTGCAATCACAGCATTCTTCATCTGCAGATCCCAAACTGAAGGTGGAGAAGTATTATATCCCCATTTCAGATGGGGAAACTGAGGCTCAGAACCATTAAGTGACTTGCCCAAGGTCACAACACAAGACAGTGGCAGACTCAGAAACAGAACCCAAAATCTCCAGACTCTCAGCTTTGTGTTCAATCCACTAGCCCTCAGCTGCCCCTAAAATCATCTGCAGTTTACTGAGCTGCTGCACTTTAAAAAGTTTCATATACTATGAAAACGTTGCATTTTGACAACCGTTTCAGCAATGGATCTCGACACTCTTGACAAAGAATAATTCACCTTACAACACCCATGGGAGCTAGGCAATTACTCAATGGCAAACAGACACAGAGTGCAACTTGCCAGAGGTCACATGGCAAATGAGTGGCAGAGGTTGGAATACAACCCAGGAGATTTTACTGGCTCTGACTTGGGAATAAAATTTGCAGTTACCAGACAACTAGACCATCTTGGGCCTTTAACACTCTAAAATCCCAACTTCAATGTTACTGATGACAAAAATAATTTACAAAAGGATTGCTTAAAATTTCAAATAGCCACCAACTGATGGGCCAAACTATGAAATTCTAATAAAAAAAGTCTGAATAAGAATCTCAGGATTTGGCCCATCATTTGTAGGTAAAAAAATGTAGCATCAAATGCTTGACAAGGACTTGCTATTTTACAAAAGTGCTTTGTTTGACTTTAGGGATTTTTTAATGGGGCCAGATTGACAGCCCCAGGGAGTGAAACCCTCAATCCACCCACAAAGTAGGTACAGCATGGGAAGCCAGCAGCAGCACAACATGCCTCAATCCTGAAATGGGAGAGGGAGGATCAGTTTCCGTGCCAGCTCAATCCTGTCTTCTCTGTAGAATTGCCCAGAAGGTGCCAGTTAGTTGAAACTGTGCGTGCGTGTGTGTGTTTAATTTGAATATGACCATCTGTCCCCGGATTTAGACCAAAACCTCAATTCACATAGTTATCAAAGGTGGTTGTTGGCTATTAGCTCGTGCTGGATCTGAACCACCGATTTGAAAGACTCTTGCTTTGGTCTCACTACTAACAATCCATTTTTAAAAAATGGCTTTAATTATTAACACCGTTTGATGCATCAATGATATACCAGATTTAAGACTCATATTAAACTGTTCTCTTTTTAAAAATTGCAAATATGGAATTTGAGCATAAAAAGATCTTCATATCACACCACCGCGTGACCAGCTCCAAGGAAAAAAAAGAAGAGGAAAGGAACACAAAAATCATAGATAGTTGCGCTATTCATACTATACCAATCACTTGGGTATCTGAGTGTATATATACACACACACCCTTAAAAAAAAAGGGAACAGACGCCTAACACTAATTACATTTTCATGTTTTCTCCTGAAGATAATTTTCAAGCAAAGGCTAATTAGAAAATCTACTGCTCTTAATCTTATTTCACAGAGACTTTATTTTCATGCTTTGTGAAAACAATGTTACTACAATTGCATCCAGAAGGGTATCTGACAATAAGATTTACTCTAACATAAGAGCTGTCTGTTTTAAAAACAAACAAATGGATATTCACATCAAAGCGGCAGCAGAGATTAATCTCGCTGGGATCCTGGATTAGAAAGAGACTGATTAAACTTCTAAATATAAAACTGTACTGGAAATACAAAAGTGGAGCCAGTCCTCAAGAGTTAATCTGCAAATTCTAGCACAGTAAGGTATACAGGCAGAATGCTAACAGATGCAGTTGTGGTACCGAATGCAAACTGCACAGCACACCGGTTCTTATAATCCCCAGTGGGACATCAAGGATTGGAAAGCCTTCAAAAAGGCTCTGGATCAAAATTTCCCAGGACATAGGTATAAAAGACAGACATCTGTTTGATGGAAAGCAAGAGCACTTTTCCCAAGCCAGCGTTATTGAAATATGAAACCTCTGGCAATCACTTATTAAAATACTGGTCTTTGATCATATATAAAGGGATCCTGAGTAAATGTACAGCCTTTTCCACTATCACCAGACACTTACTTTGTGATGCACTCCTTAGACTCACTGTCAATCTTTAGTTTGTGGTACACTACTGCCCCTACTGCCAGGGGTCCAGCATCACCACAGAGAAAAGTAACCCTTCGTCCATTCAGATTACGAAGTATTCTCTTCACATAATCCAGGGATCGCTGCAAGTACTTCTGGTCTTTTGTGACGCGGTATAGTTGTAGGTATAAAAGGGCTATGCCTAGAACAACCAGCGACAAACAAAAACAGAACAAGAAGATATATCCTTTTCTTTCCACTTAAATGGCATTTTTCAATTACCTGTTTCTCCTTCCCTCTGAATCAGTGCCCCAGAATGTTAGAAGATACCTGTGCTGTTAACAAGATGTAAAATCAAGGCTCTGACCACTAGTATCTGTTACAGATCCCAGGGAGAGAGCAAAAGGCATCAAGCCCAGTGTCCTGATTATGTTTCAATTTGGATAACTACAGTGGCCTAATTTTATTTATTTATTTTTTAAAAGACTAGAACTCAATTAGAGTCACCCAATTTCCAGAGAGTGAATGATCAGCACTTTTGAAGAATTTAGGCTCAATATGCCTGTGTATATACAAATACAGTACAGGTTTCAGAGTAGCAGCCGTGTTAGTCTGTATCTGCAAAAAGAACAGGAGTAATTGTGGCACCTTAGAGACTAACAAATTTATTTGA